TCCTTCCCCAGCACCACAAGTCAAATGCACTTTTCTTTGGTCTTCCTTATTCGTTGTGCAATTTTCACATGCAGATGAGGTGATTGAAAATGCCCATGCTTGTTCAGGCTCACTGTAGTCCGCAAAGTCACATCTCTGCTCGTTAACACTCGAAAGAGGTCTTGTGCAGCAATTACCCAGTGCCGTGTGGCTTTTTATTTCTTGACAGCTGCTTCTGTGAACCTTGATTGTGGATCCAAGCATGACAAAATCTTTCTACATACATTATGTATTTAATAATAACAGTCACCTGGCATCAATAAGTAGCTTACTTTGGTAGGCCTAGCCTTGTGCTAGGTGGATGTATCCATCAGGGCTCAACCAGAGAAACAACCAGTGGGAGATAGAGACTGAGATTGGTTGATTTACTTCAAGGAATTTGCTTATACAGTCTTAAGGACTAAGCAAGTCTGAAATCTATATGGCGAGTCATCATGGAGACAAGGCTATGGGGTGGTGGTCGGGATCCTGCACTTAAAGCAGCTGTGGAGAGGCTGGTTTTCTTCTCTGTCCTTAAGGCCTTTCAACTGGTTGAAGCAGGCTCACCTGACTCTAAAATAATCTCCGTTAAAGTCAACTGATTATGGAATTTAATCACATCAGTCACATTCACAATCAATCACAAAATACTTTCCCAACAACACCTAGATTAGTGTTTGATTGGAAATTTAGGAGACTGTTGCCTAACCAAGTGGATAAATCCAAAAGGTCATCACAATGGTGTACATATGTATTATCTAATTCCTACAGCCACTCAGGAGAGTAGATCTTATCCTTATAACTCAGAAGGTATCCACTGTAATTCATATCCAACAAGGTAAGCTTGACCTAACGTGCTTTACTGTATATTCACTTTGAGAACAATTTTAGTCCACCATTACATCCCATAAAGGCCAAATACAATTTAGGAATATTGGAAAATTATGTCACTTATACTTGAATCGAAGGAGAATATGACACAGCAGAATGTCCCCCTTCTTCTATGACCATCTTTGCTCTTTCCTAAGAGACCCCCTAGAGCAGCTGTGTGTCAGTCTGGGTGGACTAGAGAAACAAACCCAGGGTTTGTTTAAGAGAAAACTTTATATAAAAGATTAATTGTATATTAAGAAGACATCCTAGCCCAGTCCAAGTCGCTAAGTCCAATATTAGCCCTTATGTCGGATACCAGTCTATAAATTTCTCTTCAGACTCACACAACACATGCAATGACACTGAATTCAGGAAGATCACAGGCCAGTGAGTGGAAAGTCTTGTGGATCCTGTGGCAGTGGAAGCATCTCAGAGCTGGCAGCCTCCACGTGGCTAGTGTCATGTGGCTTGTCATCAGCTAGTGTCATGTGGCTTGTCAGCAGGAAGATGAAGCAGAGAGAGTGGGTCTGGCCTCCAGTGAGCTATTTATCTCCAGAGTGCCTCCCGATGAGGTCATCAAGCTGTGACCTGATTGACAGGTCAAACTCCACCCCTTCACCCTTAATAGTCTCAAGTTGACACCAGATTATGTAAGCACCACAAACGGCCTTGTACACTATTCTTTCCTCACTTTCACTTTCCACTACCCAGTTAAGTATAGGCTTCTGCTTCCTCCTCTCAAAAATTCTTCTGCTTTGTAAAAACCACAATGAGGTATGATCTCATCCCAGCATTTTTTTTTTTAAGTTAAAAAATATTAGAAAACAATAAATGCTGGCAAGGGGATGCTAGTGGGACTGTGAAATGACGCAACCACTATGGAATTACATGCTACTTCTTTAAAAATTGATCCAACAACTTCACCACGAGGTATCTCGCGTAGAAAAATGAGAGCTGTGACACAAGCAGAGAGATGCACATCCACGGTCATCACAGCACTAATCACAATAGTAAAAAAATGGAAGCAACTTAAGCGCCCATTCACAGCCCAACAGCTAAATAAACAGTGGTATATGCACACAATGGAAATGCAGTGAACATGGCAGAATACAAAACAAACATTGCAGAATCATCCCATCCCATGGATCCACTGGGAGGACAGTATGCTGAGTGAAATGAGTCCATCACAAAATGACAAACAGAGCTTGAGATCCCTCCTCTAAAAAGAAAGGGTGTGCAAAAAGAAAGCCTTCGGAGCATATCGGGGTCTGGAGGAGAAGTCAGTAACTAGAAGGTTAAACACCTCGCTGCTGTGGGGTCCCATCAACCCACGGGAAAGGGCAGAATGGCCTCTGAGGGTTTCCAAGACTGGAACTCTTTATGGGAGTCCATGTGTGCGAACTTCTGCAGGAACACCAATCGAGGCTCAAATGGCCACACTTCAGCTAAGCAGGCATTCCCCACATGTCCTTGGGGTCACCAGGACACCTCCTCCCTAAGTAGCCAGGATGGAACATAACCAAACACATTGAAATAACCTACCTTCTTAGCCCAACATGGGACACCTGTTCACTGCAGGGGAGGGGCGAGAGGAAGGCCTGAGAGCCCAGAATTGGTGCGTCTTCAGTGGTCCTTTCAAAGCGGGGCCACAGGCCCCTGCCCTGGGAAATGGAGCCTGGGGAGTCCTTCCAGTGGCCAACCCTATTATCTCCCTACTTATACCTGCATCACTTTTATTGTTTGGTATGTGATCAAATGTAATATAAACGTAACCAGTTTCAAAAAAAAGACAAAAATAAATTAATAACCTACCAGACAGTTCCAAATGGTTTCAAAGTTGTTTGACTGGTATAAGAAGAGCCCCACAGCTACCCTCTGCATATCTTTTTCTGTCCAGCCAGCCACCACTGGATGTAGCACTGCTTGTCCTGATCTGTAAGCCCTCCCCATGGTAAATAGCCTGATGTCTCTCAGCTGGACTGCAGGTCGCTTTTCAGTCTCTTAGCCTCTGCATATTGGGAGTCTGCATATAAAGAATTCCCCCCTCTTTCGGTATGAGCTCCAAATCACTTGAGTGACAGAAAGGCCACACACCACCCGGAGGAGATCAGCACCCAGTGAGTGATCCAAGGAAGCCACTGGGAGCAGCACAAGAAGGAAAGGCAACACCAAGGTGCCACTCGTGGTTTCACCTCTCGAAAGCAAGGAAAATCACAAGGGCGGGAATCAGAGACACATAGAAACAGTGAGTGCAAAGATCTAATGGACTGGGTCCTAAGGAATTCAGCCTTGATGACACGGAGCCAGAGAGCTAGACATCTACCTCTGCTGACTGCTCGGGCAGGGATCACAACAGGTAGTTCTGAAATGGAGGGCAGGAAAACGGTGACACAAAAACTCAAAATCACCCCCAAAGCCCACATTCATTTGTCTGTTAGACCGCAAGAACCCCGAGACAACAGTCTTTCGTCACCCTTTGAGCCTGGGGCAGAACTTAACCCTTGGCAAGGCGACCAGAAACACCCAGGAGCCACACCCTCCTTAGACTAATCGGCCATCCAAGATGAACAGGGCAGCATTGACCCAGGAGGCGTTCCATCGGAGGGCAGGAAGGGATAGGGAAGAAGGGCGAATGGGTAGAGGAACCCAGGGGGACCTGGGAAGAATGCTGTTACATCGTGGGGATTTCGATCCATCACAAATCACAGTGCATCCAAATGATTGAATGGAAAACTGATTTGCTCTGTTGACTTTTACTCCAATCACAACAAAAAGCCTAAACATTTAATCTGCTTGCAGAAATAAACTTGAATCAACCAGCAGTCAACAAAACCCACAACCGCCCACGCCAGCAAGCCCTCGGGCAGGGTGCAGGTGTGGGACAGAGTGTCGCCCAGTTCAGCCCCCATGCACATACTCCTTCCCATCCTTCTCCAGCCGTGGTGGTGGTTAGGGGTTGCTAAGTGGGTGTCGGCTCATAGGGACCCCACGTGACAGAGCAGAGCAGCCCCACGGGGTTTGGAGGCTATCATCTCTACAGAAGGAGGCACAATGAGTAAGCCCATGACAGCCAACCGAAAGGCTGGCAATTCAAACCCACCTAGTGACTTTTCAGGGCGGAAAACAAAGTGACAATCTGCTTCCATCAAGATGACAGCCAAGAAGACCCTATGGGGCAGTTCTGCTCTGTGACAGGTGGTCTGAGTCAGAAGCCCCTTGATGGCACCCAACAACAATCTTTACTCCAGTAAGTCGGGATTAGTAGTTCCAGTCCAAGAGGAGAACATTGACATTCAGAGAGGTGCAGAGGCAGGGAGGCGCACAGAGCTGAGATGCGAGCCACGGCCTGCATGGCTGTTCTTGGCGCTGTGCTGCTGCTCTATAGAGTGCCTGCTAGGCTTTCTTAGTAACAGCTGGCCACACCAGCCTGTCACAGTCAAACTCCATCTCTTAATGGGTTGCAGACTAGACCATGCCCTACAGTCATGATTCATCCCCATGAGCTGCTGCCCGGTTTACCAGAGACAGCCTCCATCCGTTACGGTCAGGGTGTCAGTGTCAGCCACCTTCCATTTACGGCATGAAGCAGCTTAGCGCCTGGCCTCCACCTCTGACTCCATCTCCGACACTGAACTCTGTGATTGGATCTGAGTTCCAGGGGGCTCAGCATATTCTCAGAGAAGCTGTGAAACACTCAAACTGTTGTGTCATGAGACTCCCACCCTCTGGGCAGTTGGGATCGAGATTTCTCAACCTCGGTACCATTGACCTTCGGGACCAGAGACTTCTTGGTTGCGAGAGGCTTCCATGTGCCCTGGTCTTTACTTCTCAAGAAGCAGAAGCATCTCTCAGTCTTGAGAATCAAAACGGCCTCCAATATTCCCTGGGGGATGAAATTGCCTTCCCTTCCTCCCTCTGGAGAACCACCAAACTACAGGAGCCAGCTCCAGATTACTCCCAGGTAACACTGAGGCTGCCTCTGTACTCATGGGAAACAGAGAGACCGGTATAGAATGTGTGTAGCCCCAAGGAATTGTGTGGGGAACCAATATTTGCAAACCAAATTCAACTTCAAAACCTTAAGGATAACAGACCACCAAAGGATGCATACTCAAGAGAATGGGGGAGGGGGTTGGAGTCAAGGAAGGGGGAAATGGAGTGTGCATCTGAGTTTCTGGAGAGAAACAACAAATCCTGCATAGCTTTCTGTATGATTTAATGAATTCTCTTTTCAAAGATGCAAAATAGCACTTAGTATCTAACATCATGGCGAAATACTCAAGGTATAAGTAAAAGAATTTAGAGCAGTATTTGCATGTCACTTCAACTCTGTGAGGGAAGCAAAAGGCCAGGGGAACCTATCTGTGAGGAAACACTAGAAGAAAAAGTTTTAGCATTGACTGTTATTTGAGATTTCGGACAATATAAAAGGTGGTGGTCTACGGGGAGTCCCTGGGGAGAATAAGATGGAACACAGGTGTTTGTACAGATGATGTGTTCAGGAACACTGGTGATTTAGGCAGCCTGTCTGGAGCAAGCCAATATATGAGACAGGGGTAAAAGGGAGAAGGCAAGCCTTTGTGGAATATCAATATTCAAGGAGGCAGAGTGGATTCCGTCTGACAGAGCCAGTGTCTTAGAGCAATAGGTATTTTTATAGGCAAGGAAAAGGTGGGTTTCAGGAAAGAATCTGAAGTTCATGAGCAATTTGGTCATCTTAGCGGAGGGGTTCTTCTGGAACAGTCATTAACTTTATGTGGTGAGACTTGAGACAGGATGTCTGGTCCTCAGATTGTTCGTTGCTTAGAGGAGCTTGTCCACACTTCAGTTGTAGATAGTGTCCTTCAAAGGGAAGGGGGCTAACGTCTAACTTCTAAAGAGAAACAAGCAACTCTGGTGGTGTAATGGTTACGAGCTGGGCTGCCTTGAATGCTAACAGAATTACAAGGTTGAGACAAAGGCAGGGATCAAGCTCAGGTTTTATAAGGATCGTGATTTTTTTATTGTAACATTTTTATGAGGCTACCTTTCTTTGGTAAGCAACGCTAATTTTCCACTTGTGTCATGTGTTTTCTTTTTGTTCTTGACGGGGCACTAAAAAAACAACAACAATAGGGCATCAAGTGGCCGGGGAATGTGATGGGAAGTTATATGAAGGTGGTAGGTAAGGACTGCTAGTGGGGGCTGCAGTGCACGTTGCCCAGCAGGCTCCCTAGAAACGATGTCTCTGTAAGGCGGGTTGCAGAAAGAGTGACACCAGCCAGCCAGGGCGCATGCAGGCGCTCTTCTTTGCGGACTGGGGCACCTGTTCCCTCTGCCTCCAAGGCGCTTCATTCGGCCCACAAATCGTCTCCTCTGGGAGCCCCTCCCTGGCCACCTGACTAGAAGGGGTCTCTTCCAGTCAACCTCCATCCTCCTTTCCCTCTCCCCTTTGACAAAAGCGTCCATGTTTCACCTGTTGCCCCCACCAGCCTGCGAGTTCCCCAAAGCCAGAGTCCCCGCCTGTTTGCCGGTGTGTCTGCAGAGACGACCCCCACGAGCTGAAGCACACTGAAGGCTACAAGTAGGTGCTGAAGACACGGGTTCTAAGTTGGGGTGTATCTACCCTCCCCACAATGTCAGTTTGTAGGGGTAACCAAGAGGAGAGAGATCAAGGCAGTTTGTGGTTCAGCATCAAACACATTTATTTCACTTTTATTGAGTATACAAGAACAGAGAGCACACGCATACAGCACAGAGCACTGGGGGGGGGGGCAGCGCTGGGACGAAGGGGAGCACGGGCGGAGTATAGGGACAGGACAGCCTTGCAGTTGGTTGGTAAGGTGCTTTCAGGGACAAAAAAAAATACTTAAAATGATGTTGCTCATGCAATTTCAGGCCAGTCTTAGAATGTGCTTGCAGGATTCGAAAACGGAAACCCTTCCTGGACCCTGGCCCTTCCTGAACCCTCCGATGGAAAAGCTCCCGAGGAAGCGAAATGAAGAGAACCAAAGATCGGAAGGCAGACAGAGCGGGGAAAGCCCCCGGGGAGCATCGGGCTTGACCTGCTTGTTGTGTAAGTGGGAAAACCGAGGCTCCCCCCAAAAAGGAAGGGGCTGGCCTGATGTCATGGTAAGATAGGAGCTGAGCCAGGCTGGCCACCGGAAAGCCTGACTGCCTCCCCCCGGGGCTGTTCCCACCTCGCCTCCTGAGTGGAGAGGCAGCGCAGAAAGGATGAGAAGCTTTGAAAAGAAAGACATGACGGCAAAGTCGACGGACGAGACAAATGCCTATATTTTCTCTGCAGAGGGTGAGGCGGAACCAGCGTCCTCCATTCTGCTTTGCTGCTCCCTTCTCCCTGAAGCAAGCTCAGAGCAGCCACTGGGACTGGACAGCCCTCTCCCTGGCCACCTCATCGCTTCCCAGAAGTCACCCCTCAGGGCCGGGGAGAGGCAGAGCCCCGGACAAAGATCCTCCCTCTGTGCCTGTCCAGGCCACCTGGGTCCTACAGAGACTGGGGCGTCCAGAGAGGCTGGCTGCATGCCAGTTTCTTGTTTGGCCCAACAGTAGGTGTTCTCAAGATGAGAAGGGCAGAAGGAGGTTCTGTGGCGTCTCTACCAGGCTTGTAAAAAAAACCTGGTGGGTGGAAAGGGTGCTGGTGGGGGCCCACTGGCCTGGCCTGAGCTGGCCCCTTGCAGGCCTCTCGGCCCACTTGCCTTTCTCCACCGAGGCAAATGCTAGTCTGGGCCAGTGCCAGCTGAGCAGCCAAGTGTATATGCTGTCAAGTTACCCACTGAGCAAGCCAAGGGGGCACATGGATCCCGGGCTGTCCAGAGAGCATTCCTGGGCAATGCCAGGGCCCAGCAACTTGGAGAGCTTGGGGAAATGTTCCCCAATAGAGCGGCCACCCTGGGAGACTCAGGCTGGCCTTCCATGTCCCTCCTTTCCCTCACACGTTCCCTTGCAGCCCTAGCAAGGTATCTGGCACAGATCGATACTCAGTAAACATGTGTTGAATACAATTCATTGACCGCATTACCAGCAGGACTGGGAAGGCCTGGTGGGACTGAGTAAAGTGCAAAGGGGGCAGTTCCCCCCAGGGAGGGACTCGCTGAGCTCAGGGAAGGAGCTTTTGGCAGGCAAGCCTGTGTGTGCTTGAGGGCAATGCCAAGCTAGTGGCAGGATCTTCTCCAAGGGCTTCTGTGGTCTCGAGGCAATTCCTGGGCTCAAGGACCCAGGCTCAGAGCTCAGAAGCTGTTGGAAGGGGCGGTCTCCCCAAGCCAGGGCCTTAAACACCGATGGAGCCCGTAAGCAACCCCACCTGCCCCTGGGGCCTCTGGGTATGCAGCTTGGACCGCCCAGGGCCTGCCCTGCATTCACAGCCTCCTTACCACGGCTACTCTGGGGCCCAGGAAGAAGGGAATGGCTCAGAAGAAAGAAGGGCCAGCGGAGGAGACTGCCCTGGGAGTGTCCCCACAGCCTGGCCAAAGCCACCATCCTCACCATGACCGGGGGCACCCTTTTCTGCAGGAGATGGAGTGCCTTAGGCCAGACATGTGGCCAAAAAAGAGAGTACTGAAAACCAATGCCCCCCAGGGAGGCGGGGGGAGGCCTGAGCTGGGACCTTTGCCAGCGCCTGTGAATGGTGGAGGCCAGGCCTGAGCACAGGCCAGGCCTTGGTTGCCGTGCGTGCCCCGGGGAAAGGCGTCAGCCTGGCGAGTTCGGGACTACGTCTGGTCTGCATTTCATCCTCCTTGCCAGCCCCCTCCGCTCCTTCTGAACATCCCGCCCTTCTCCACCAATCAACCAATTACAAACACCACACACTGTATTACTACACTGAAGCCGGCAGCCCCTACACCCAGAGTCCCGGGCTCTTTTGCTGGGCCCATTCAGTGAGATCTAAGAACCTTGGGATACATCAATCACAGTCAGATAATTATAATCTTAAAATGTCAGTTTCATACTCACCAGCACGGTTTATTTTAATATTTGTTTCTTGTTATATGTAATATACATAACTTAGAAGCACATCCATACAAACCCTACAAGCTGCACCTTCATATGGAGACCACACACAGACCATGTCTACTTCCCTTCTGTGGCTTCGTTTCCTGTTCTTGCGGTTTCTGGTTTTGGGTTTCCAATGAGTCATCAGGGAGGTCCTGTGGTGCCCCCCTCCCCCCCCAGCAAGATCAGGACACAGAAGGTGAGGGAGGGAGGGCGAAGGGGGAGCCCAGACAGAAAATGACAAGACACATGGGAGTCTAGGGTGAGGGGAGGCAGGAGAAAGGAAGGTAGATTTTGCAGCCCAGTATCAAGACCCCCCAAATAAGGACCCCGTGTTCCTCCTCCTCCTCTTTTTGAAGGGGGGGGGTGTTCCTTCTTGGAAAAATGTTGGACAGCGTGTGCCTTGCTGCTGCGACTTCTCTTGCTTTGTTGCAAAAGGATTGTCCTTTGCCTTCGGGCGGGCCACAGAGGCGGGGGAAGGGCACAGGGCGGTTCGTCCACTGAATGAACCGTGCAGAACCAGAGTCCCGTTGAACTGCTACAATCATGGCAGCCTGGCTTGCTTTTGTTGCTTGGCAGCGGAAAACGGGGGGGAGCGAGGGACTCTTGTTGTCTTCATTTTATCTTCAAAATTTTTCTTGGAATTAAAAACAAAAACCAAAAAAACACCGATTCTTTGATTTATCTGCAAAGGAAAATGCAGGTGTCGGGATGTTGGTTGGTTGGTGCTGTGGCAGACGGCTCCGCCAGCCCAGCAGCAGTGCGAGGACGCTGTATATATATCTATATATATCTATTTATATATGCTTTCCTTTCCCAGTCTCTCATCAGGGACAGTACGGCGCGGCTGGAACGTCAGTGTGGCGTTGGAGAATCCAGAGCGAAGGCCCCTTCTTAATGCTTCTCTGGCTTGGGTTGGACCAGACACGCCAGCGTCTCCTCACAGAGGTCAGGATTCCTGGGAGCCAGCGGGGGAAGAAGAGGAGGGGGGTGGGGGGTAGGGGAGACAAATCAGGGAACTGTGGTGAGATAGAAATAACACCAATGTGCCATGGTAACCATTTTTCAGCGTGTGGTTCGGAAGCACTCAGCATCGTCAGTACTGTGCCACCATTGCCGCCATTTGTCTCCAAAGCTTTTTTGCCATCCCCAACAGAAACTCTGTCCCCATGGACTTCCTCATGACTGCCTCCCCAGCCCCTATGGTAATGACTCATTGACGGTCTTTATGGGCCTCATCTAGATTGTGCGTATCAGTGGAATCATAGAGTACCTGTGCCATGTCTGGCTCATTTTCCCTCAGCATCATTTCAAGGCTCACCCATGAAGTAGCGTGGCTCAGTATGTCATCACTTTCTTATGGCTGAATAAGGCTGCGCCGCTATTTATCTATTCACCTGTGAGGGGCCCAGCTAGCTAAACTCGGCAAGGTCAGCAGTTCAAACTCACTGGACGCCCCTTCAGAGAAAGACAGGGCTCTCTGCTCTCTGAAAAATCTACAGCCTTGGAAAGCCAAAGGGGCAGTTCTATTCTACCCTATGGGGTCACCAGGACGTGGGAAGCAACTAGTTGACAGTCGCTTTTTGAGCAATCCACCTGTTGATGGACACTGGGGTGGCTCCCATTCTTTGGCTGTGGGGAATTGTGGTGCAATGAACACCGATGTACTCCTTGCAGTTCATTGGGACAAACATGGCAGAGAATTTTTTTAGCTGCCCTTTGCTGAGAGCCATAGGTGCCCTGGATGTGTTGTCAGATGAGCTCTGGTTTGCTAACTGCAAGGTCAAGCAGTTCAAATCCACCCATTGTCCCATGGGTTGAAAGATGAGGCTACCTGCTCCCATACAGCTTTACAGCCTTAGAACGCCGAAATAGGGCCATGCTGAGTGGGAGCTGACTCAATGGCGTGGGTCTGGTGTTTGGTTTGGGGGCATGCCAGGCACACACATGGCTCAGGAAGGGAAAGCAACTTTCCAAGGCCAGGTGGCTGAGATCGGGCCTGCACTTCTTCGGATTCCACAGCCGGTGGGCATTGGTTTGTTTTGAGGGAATCAGTCTCTAGATTTTATTAACGTTTCTTCTAACACGGAGCAGCTAAGATCACAGTCTTTTCACTTTTTCTTCTCATCTTTTCTCGGATCTAAGAAACATTTCATATAATTCCAGATGTACTTTTGTTTGTTTTTCCCATGGCCTTTTTAGTACAGCCTGTTGTGTCCTCAGGATTAAACTCGAGACAGATATTTTTAAAAAGAACGCAGAGTCTGGGTTTTACCTCAAGTTTGCGTGACTCTAAGTTAGGGATTGAGCACGTGGACTCTGAAGCAGATTTCCTGAGTTCAAATCTTGCTCCCCAGCTCACTGGCTCTATAATTGTAAGCAAGTGTCTTAAACTGGATTAGCTCAGTTTTTTTCTCTGTAAAATGGGCTCTGCCTCCTAAGGTGATGGGGAGAATTCAAAGTCCAGCATGTACTAAGTGATTACTCATTGGGTGGCTAACTGCCAAGTCAATGGTTCAAAACTACCAGGTGCTCTGTGGGAGAAAGACGAGGCTTTCTCCTGTAATGATGAGCAGTCTTGGAAAACCACAGCAGCAGTTCTACTCTGTCCTACAGGGTCGCGAGGAGTCAGAACTGACTTGATGGAAGTGACTTTGGTTTTGGTTTGGTTCCTATCATTTCTTGTTGTTGTTCACGTAGCCAGTCCTCGTCCAAGTTCCTTGACGGTCAAGACTGCCTTTTACTTAACTTTGTCCCTCCAGTGCCTAAACCACGAGGCTGGCACTTAGCAGTCCTCAGAGACACTAACTAAATGAGCCTGTCACTGCTGCCCTTCCCGTCTACATGCTCAGTGCTAATGGCGTCACGACAATGAAGCCTTCGTGGCTCATTGAAAAGGCAGGGAAACTGAGGTCCAGCAGAGTTCAAGGACTTAGCATGTTGGAAGCAGAAGCAGGACTAGAATCCACAACTCCTACTTTGGAATGGGTTGATTTTTTTTGCCCCCTCATTTAACTCACTTTTTAAAGGAGCAAAAGCTCCAGGGAGCGGGACAAGACGGGCCCTCCCCGAAGGAGGTCGGTCAGTGGGAGAAGATGGAACAGACTCCATGCAACTGGCCTGTGAGGCTGGAGGGAAAGAAAAGACTCTACCTGAGACAGGCATCCTCTCCGTACCCATGGCAACTTCACGGAGGAAGAGCTTCAGGAAGGCAGGCCAACAGTCAACTAGTGCGGGGTAGCTGCTCTGGCAGGATTGGTGGAGGGAAGACTGGGAGGGCACCCAGGTGGGAGCAGGGTCTTGGCCTCTGATTTGTGGGGGAAGGACTAAGGTATGATTTCCTCCCGGCTCTAGACAATCCTTAAACTTAGCAAAGCCATGGTGGGGGCCTGGGGCCGGGGTCAGCGGTAAGGTGACTAGGAGGCAGGTTCACACTTGCTGGGCACCCTCTGTATGTGAGACACTGGCCCATCCGGTGACAGAGATCTCATCTTGTTTAACTACAGCAGCTCCTGAGATTGGAACAAGGAACCTCATTTGACAGATGAGAAAACTGAGACCCAGAGAGGTGTTTCTGGCTCCAAAGTCTGGGCATGTTTTTGCTGCTCTCTGCCACCACTTCCTACCTGGGGTGTGTTTGTTGGCTCTTCTTACAATGGCAGGTCACAGTCTAACTGTGCGCATCAATTAGCACAGGAATTGAGGGAAAGATGATTCAGCCTTTGCAGGGTGTGCAGGGTATCTTCAAAGGCCCACAGACAGTTCAGAACCCAAGGGACAGCTAAACAATGCCTGGTTAACGTTTATTCTTCTTGGTAGATTATAGTGGGGCCCCCATGTGCAAATAGGTGCTCGTCTACTTCCAGTTGACAGTAAAAGTCATCATAACGACCTTTCACTGAGCATTTACTATGTGTTAGGCATAATGTTCACTTTCTTCAGCAACCCCAGGAGGGAGATACTATAAGCAGTCAGTGTGGTGAGGAGGCGATGACCACAGGATGGTTTGCAGACTAATAGATAAGGTTTGAAATCTAACCAGCCCACCATGAAGCTATGGCTCTATGACTTTGGTCAAATCGATCAACCAGTGTCTCGGAGACTTTCTTTCTATCCTCATTTGTAAAGAGTAAAATGAGCAGATATGAGCATTTACGTCACGTGCATAGCACGGTGCCTGGAATCAAGTAAGCACTCAATTTATAAAAGCAATTGTGATTATTCTGATTATTCCTGTCATTGGCTGACGCCCTGATGGCATAGGGGTTACACGCTGGGCTGCTAACTGCAAGGTTAGGAGTTTAAAACCACCAGCTCCTCCTCAGGAGAAAGATGAGGCTTTCTGCTACATTAAAGAGTTACAGTCTTGGAAACCCCCAGGGATAGTTTCCATCCGGCCCTATAGGGTCGCTGAGTGGGAATCAACTCGATATCAGTGAGTATGGTTTTGGTCTTTGGCTGATGAAGAAACTTAGTTAAATAAGTAGGTCAAGGCCACACAGGTAATAAGGGGCAAGGCTGAGCTGTGTGCTCAGGCTTGGAGGACTACAGTCTTAGTGTGCATGGTAACCAAAAAGACCAATGCTTTCTGAGCCCTTTAAAAAAGAGGGTTTTTCCATGAAGTATTGATAAATGCTACCATATGGATAAGCCTCTAAAACTGTGCTGCGTGACGGAATGCCAGTCACATATTATGTGATTCCATTTATAAGAAATATTAAAGAAAAATCCAGAAAAGTGAAATCTACAAAACCAGAGTAGAATAGTGGCTGCCTAGGGAAAATGGAGAGTTTCTGCTCAATGGTCATTCACCCCCAATGGTTGGGGATAATAAAAACATTTTAGGAATAGAGTCGTGATGAATGCGCAACATTGTGAATGCGATTAATGCCATGGGGATGTCTGTTTCAAAACGGCTAAAATAGAAAAGTGCGTGTTATGTGTAATACTGTATCGCACACATACACAAATGTAAACCCACAATACCAGTAACACACCTAATGTTTTTTAAAAGTGATTTTCTCACTCAGAGAACACATTCCCGACTTCAGAATCAGGGGGCCTGCCGGTGCTCCCAGTCAAAGGCAGTTCGTGCTCAATAGTGAGAAGGTGTGTGGGCAGAAAAGGCAAGGGAGCAAGTCCTCTCTAGAGCAACAGAACAAGAGGACCTTCACCTGAGGATGCTAAAGAGTGAGCTAGCCAGGGCGCGAGGTGGGCGGAGCAATGGCAGTCCAGAAGATCACAAGGTAGGAGGAGGAGGTAATGAGATAGCCAAGTGAGCCAGGAGGGGGGCAGACGTGAAAGACTGGGCGTGGGGGAGGCAGAATGTGGAGGCTGTGATGAGGAGCTACTGAATGGCCAGGGAAAACAGGAAGAGGAGGAGTCTGGGGACAACTGGCTAAGAATGCCCTGGGCAAGACTGGGAGCAAGCGTGAGGGATGGGGAAGGCACTTCAGAAACACCCAGTTCTCTGGGCAAGCATCTCAGGAGATTGGCTGGAAGGGGCTGGCTCCATCGCCTCCCTTTGCAAAGGAAGGGGTGGCGTCCACAACCAGAGAAGAAACTGACCTATGATCATACACTGGGTCCGTGGGATGGCTGAGATTAAAGCCAGGTCTCTGCTTTCCCAGGACACTGTCCTTTGTAGCAGTGGTTCCTACATGAAACTCTGCACAGACTCGTCTATGGACTGAGGTATAGCAAAGACTCCCAACCAGTATGACATCTGACTTTATGGGGCTGGTTCTCTAGATTCTGTATTCTAAACAGGCTCCTCTCAGCCCCCACCCCTGGCAGGTGATGCAGCCAGTCCAGCGCGGGTTGAACAAGGGACCTACGCTCTGCCACGCTGAGACCTGCGAGGGAAAGAACAAAAACAACTGGACAATTGAGTGGACAATTGTGACAATCATTTGAATGAACCCCAAGGGAGGTTTTGCCAAAGCCAGCTAGCATTTCTCTTTGACCAGCACTGTCCACATGAAATAGAATGCGAACAGCGGGAACCTAATTTGTTCACCGAAAGACAAAATAAAGCATTATGTAAAAAAAGAAAAGAAATATGAGCTTCAAGTAGCACTTGTAATCATCCAGTAGCCACATTTAAAAAGAACAAAGAAACAGGTGAAATGAATTTTTTTAAATATATGTAATATGGTGAAGAAAGCTGATGGTGCCCGGCTATCAAAATATATAGTGTCTGGGGTCTTAAGGCCTGAAGGTTAACAAGCGGCCATTCAGCTCAGAAGCAACAAAGCCCACATGGAAGAAGCACACCAGCCTGTGTGACCATGAGGTGTCGAAGGGACCAAGTATCAGGCATCATCAGAACAAAAAAATCATATCATTGTGAATGGGGGGGATGCAGAGTGGGGACCCAAAGCCTATCTGTAGGCAATTGGACATCCCCTGACAGAATGTCTCGGGGAGGAGAGGAGCCACTCAGGGTGCAGTGTAGCAACAATGAAACATACAACTTTCCTCTAGTTCCTAAATGCTTCCTCCCCACCCACTATCATGATCCCAATTCTACCTTACAAATCTGGCTAGACCAGAGGATGTACACTGGTACAGATAGGAACTGGAAACACAGGGAATCCAGGGCGGATGATCCCTTCAGGACCAGTGGTGAGGGTGGTGATACCGGGAGGGTAGAGGGAGGGTGGGGTGGAAAGGGGGAACCAATTACAAGGATCTACAGGATCTACATATAACCTCCTCCCTGGGGGATGAACAACAGAAAAGTAGGTGAAGGGAGACGTCAGACAGTGCAAGATATGACAAAATAATAATTTATAAATTATCAAGGGTTCATGAGGGAGGAGGGAGGAGGGAGGGAGGGGGAAAAATGAGGAGCTGATGCCAGGGGGCTTAAGTCGAGAGCAAGTATTTTGAGAATGATGAGGGCAATGAATGTACAAATGCGCTTTGCACAATTGATATATGTATGGATTATGATAAGAGTTGTATGAGTCCCTAATAAAATGATTTTTTAAAAATGTAATTGTTTGCATTTTGGATCTAATAGGTCCGAAGCATTCTCATTTCACACTGTAACCAATATAAACGGTATTGTCTACATCGTTTACATTGTTACTTTTTTTTCATATTAAATCTTCTGAATCCTGCTGGTATTTTACCCAAAAAGCGCATCTCAACTCACATCAGTCAAATTTCAAGTGCTCAGAAGCCATGTGTGACCAGTGGCTACCATGCTGGACATTATAGAGAGACCATTTCCACCATCACCTAAAGCTCTACTGGGCAGCACTGGTCTTGACCAGAGGTTAGTAGCCTTTCAAAGTGGCAGGGAAATGTCTTTGTCCCTTCTCTTCTGGTGTTAAGGATTCAAAGGGAGGAACACCATTAAAACACTTGGTTCCCATTCAAGGAAGAGGGCAGGGTGGAGATTTGTGTGTGTGTGTGTGTGTGTGTGTGTGTGTGTGTGTGTGTGCGCGCGCGCGGGGGCTCTGACAAGGACTTTTTCTGTGTAGTGTG